TAGTATATAGTATATTATATATTATACATTATTATACATATATACATAATATGCAATATCTATAATTTATATAATATATAATATATAATATATAATGGGCCATTCGGTGCCAAACTTTGCCAGGTTGTTACTTGAAATGCTTATCTTTGCAGACTTGTAATTTAGCTCATTTTGAATAGAATTTGGTTTTTTGATCATTAGATTTGCCATTTTTATGTCCTGAACTTTAAGATGCATATTCGTTTTTCTTAATTCTGTTAAAAAATCGCATAAATAAAAAAAACAAAATTTCAAACAAACTAAAAAAGTGAAGTTTTAAATATTTCAAAAAGGATATATTTTTTGCAAAATTCTTTGCTCTTTTTTTATTTTTCAGCAAATTAAAAAAACAACTGTGCTTTTGAAAGTTTAGGGCATGGCAGTTTAAAACGACCTAAATTACAAGTCACGAAAGATAGGCATGTCAACTGGCAACCTGGCAAAGCTTGCAACCTTGAGGTTGTGTAACTTGGCGGCGAATTCACTTCTCCAGGTTTTTTTCGGCTTTTCCTATACAGCCCTAAACCGTACTAATTAGCAAAATTTAAGAAAATTCTGAGGTATAATTTATAATACCACGTATAGTAAATATGATATATAATATAATATATTTATGACCGTCATAAGGACAGGACAACAGTCATATAAGTTAATAAAAACCGAAGAATACCTAATAAAAGATAAAAAATAAATTAGAGTTCACTGGTAGGCGGGTATAACCAGTCAGTCCAGCTGTATACCAACACACTTCATAAAAAACTCCCCTCGATAAAAAAGCAAGTTTGCAAAAAAAAAGTTCGGCAACTTCCCAAATTAAATTTCTTTTTTCTGAAGAACACACTTCAAGGAACCTGTCTGCAAAAAATGAAAAATTCCGCGTGTTAAACATCCTAAATTTTCAATACAAAATCACAGAAAAATATCAATTTAAAAATGAGCTTCAACGTCACATTTCGGCAAATATCTCGACAGAGGCGCTACAGATCTGTATGAGATAGCAATAGACCGATAGGTAAATTTCTGATGAATCGAATGATGTCAAAAAATCATCAGATTTCCAAAAATAAAGCAACTAAACAATGGCTTTTGCGAAGGTAGGTCACAATTTTTAATAAGTTGCCAGCCGACCTGACTACTGCATCTCTTATCTTGCCACGAAAAAATTTTCGTTCCAAACTGGAAATGACGGCGCCTATATGTAAATGCATATATATATATATATATATAT